GCCCAAATGAGAGTGTTAGCTATGTGAGGATGGGAAAGGTGGTACCTTAGAGATGTTACATGGTAAGAGCCTATAAAAACTCCAAGCAACCAGGATATGAGATTTAGGGGGAGGGTTCATCTTAAGTATCATTATGAAGTTTCCTTATTTGCTTCTTAACTCTCTACATAAGCTGGCAGATCCCCCCCAGGTGCCCCAGCTGTCAGTGCAAATTGCTGATGGTCTTCAAGTTGTTCACAATTTAATTCTTTAAATGCTTTAAATGCCATTAGGGCTTGTGCCTTTGCCCTGTCTGAAGATTGTCTGAAACTTACTTTGTTCTTTTCCTTGGGGTTGAAGGACCACCACAAAAAACATGGTGAAATGCTGTTGCCACTGATGTCAGTTGAAGTTTGGGGCATTGGGTTCAGTTCAGTTTGCCTCCTTTTTGCTATCTGTATTGTAATGAAGGTCCTTTGCCTGATATCACTCTATGGGCTTTTTAAAGATTTTCACTGCTGTGTGTCAGTGATGAAGACAACCTTCCTTGCATCCTCTGACACTGGTGGCATTAAAATATGCAACCTGGGGACTGAAGTCCCAGGCTTTGCCCCTGTGCTTTTGCAGCTACCCTGCCACGCTGGTAGTCCTCATGGATGAGATTCACCTGACCACAGATGCCAACATCTAGATCTCCATTAATGCTTTACTGTAACCCTACAGTAACTCCTAAAATAGATCTTGTGATTTTTTTTTTCCTTAAATATGTCTGTTTCTCCCACTAGAAATAAATGTAGTCTAGGGTGACATCTACCTCATGGACATCCAAAGTCATGTGAGATGAATTCCACCCTACACAGCCAATCTTTTGTAGTGAGATTAAAGAATGAAGATGAGAGACAGCAGGGTGGAGAGTGGAATATTTTGCATCTTTGCTTTCACTCACTTGCCCCTTTCATTAATGTTTTTGTGATCAAGTCATCCTTCCATCTGGATGTTGAGAACAAGGCAACAGCAGGTGCCTGCCAGAGGGAGGATGTTTTCAGTCAAAGAGAGGGACCTGAGCATATTCTGAGCATGACTGGGGCCAAGTCTAATCTACCAAGTAACATATGTTTATATGTTTTAGTGTTTGGACATATTTTAACGGTTATTACTATCACATTTTCTACAAAAGAAAGTCCCTTTTTCCTCAGTATGAGTCTTTTCCCAGTTTAATTTTAATGTTTCTTCGTACTCTTCATTGTGTTTTTCATTTCTTGGCCCATCCCTGGTGTTTTTCCTACCTTTCTTTTTTTCCTTTGCCAAAGCAAATCTTCAGTTTCCCTTCCATATTCCCACTCTCTCCTTCTTGGAATTGTGTTTTTCTTTCCTTGCTTCCTCCCTTGGTCACAAGTCTCCCTTCTCTTCAGCCTTTCTGCCCTTCTTCCTCTTTCTCCCCCTGTCTTTTTGAGAATTTTCTTTCCTTCCCTTCCCATTCCCACTCTCCTCACTCAGCTCTCCCAGCAGCATGCTTTGGAGCAAAGTAGGTGCCAAATTTTAACAGCCACAACCCATTGTGCAGAAGATGACTCCACGCCAATGGCCAGACTTTGTTGTGCCACCATCTCATGCTTCAACCACATTTTCTGCCATGCAGCCATTGTTTGTCTTTCTTTGCACGCTTGCATCCCTGCCATCTCCTGCCTTTCCTCTTCTGCCAAACTGTGCATGGTTGAAATGGTTGCAGCATTAAAAAGGTCTCCGCTGCTCCAATCTGCATGTCCCGGGGGGCTAAGGCATTGACCACTGGAACACTGCCTTAAAATAATCAATAACGCTGGGTGACACGCCAACCTCGCACTGGCCAACCAGGGATAACTTGGGGTATTTCCTCATTCTCTGGAGAGAAACAGCTATTTGTTTAATAGAGGCCATCACCCCAAAACATCGCTGTGCCTCCCTCAGACTGCCACGCTCCAGGAGAGAGGAGCTGGAAAGCCCGAAGCTGGCTGTGGGGAACTCTGGAGCCTGGAGGCCATCTTAGCCCCATGTAGAAGGTAAGCAAAGGTATTTACATGCTTCCCTCAGCATTAAAAAGCAAAACTTCCTAAAACCCTAGTTAAAAATTAGAAGCTTGCTCTAGCCGCCTTGCTTAACGAAGCTGTAGAAAGTGCTTTTGTTTGCTGAATTAATAAAGTGTTTTGAGCGCTTCTGGCAATCCAGAGTGTTTTCCTAAGCTGTAATAACACGGTCAGATCCTCTGATGTGCACAGGTAGCAAAGCGGCATTGATTTTGGTGGTAGAGGCTCTCGCTAGGTCTGGTGATTGATGTTTAGGTAAGTTCTCCTCGCAGTTTGAAGTGGTATTGAGATAGGTCAGAGAGAATGGGCTGTAAACCCCTGTTCTTCCAGCCAAAGCAGCATCGTGTTTCTTCATGAAAATTGCGCGAGAATTGGGCCCTCCAGCTATGTACGAAAGATGCAGAAGAGAATTTATAACTCGCCTACAAGACCTAGCTTTTATAGAACAAGGCTAGTCTGTACCTGTGCTTGTTTTCTTCTCTCTGGGGAGGGAAAGTAGGTGATGCGGGGCAAACACATGGAAAAGCAAAAGCTGGAATGGGGCAGGAAAGCAGAGAGGCAAAATTCAGTGTAAAAAAAATAGCAAATGCATTGGGTATTGCAGAGAAAGACTGGTGAAATATCCAATATTCTTTCCATTTCCCTTCACTCCCTCCCCACTTCATCTTTCATTTGCACATTGTCAGCCTGCTTAGATTTTTATCTCTTTGAGCTGGAGCTCTTTCCAGAGGCTTGCAAAATGCCCTGCCCAATTTTAAGCACTATATAAACAATAGGTAATAACTGTAAACCAAGAAGCATCTTTGTTAAAAATGTTCCCTTCTGGAATAGTTTAATGCCAGTTAACTTGGTTTAAAGCTGGATTAAAAAGTATAATGTGATTGTGGAGTGCTCAGAAGAAAAGGCATATAAGCATAGTGCTCTTATTAAACTCATAGCAGCAGAGAACAATGCAAATTTTTTGCTATAGAAATGCAAACTCAGAAGTGTCTGCCAGTCTCAGCTACCTGACAGAAATATACAGCATACCATAAAGTCTTTCTGTTATCCCTCTCAGTTACAGAGGTCTGAGGACATCGGTCTGTCTTCATGCCTTACCTCATCTCTTCGCTGTCTTCGTTCTGTCAATGAAGCCGGCTTCAGCCTGTCTCTGGCTTTTTCAAGTATCTTCATACTGTCTTTCACCTGGGTTTTTTTGCTTGGGAACCCAACCTTGATTGATTTCTGTACTCCTAGCCTGCTTAATACCTTCTCAACACCAACTTCTGTCACAAAACTTTCAGGATTAGCCAATGCACATGACTAAATTGAGGGACATTTCACTGTTTACTGCCTCAGTTATTACAAAAACTATTTGCACATAGCAAGCATGGACATGTGCTCATGCATGGCTGTGTGTATGCATGTGTAACACAGGCGTGTGTACTGAAATGGTGTGTGTTCAGATCACCTTGTCTTCAATTTTCTAACTTGCTCAAAGGAGATCAAAGCCATCTTTGTCATAAACTATCAGCTTTCTGTGAGGACAGAAACCCACAGATTGATATTTTGTATTTTTATACATTTGAAAGCCTTGAGCTGCAGTGAAGCTATGATAAAACATCATGAAGAAGTTGTGATCAATTTGTGCCATAAAGTTAATGGCAGTGTGAAAGTTCAATAATCTCTGACCCAGTAGTCTGAAATTTCCAACCTGACATGGAGAAATATCTGTGGATCCACTTTTGTACTGATCAGCCTTTTCTCTTTGGCTATAGATCACAGCATGGGTGCAGTATGAGCTGAAGTTGTTCACTTTGGTGAAGAGGGATGTAATAGCAGCCTACAACAAACTTGGAAGGGAGTGACAGAGGTGATGGAGTGGTGGGAGAGGAAATCATGAGGAGCAACAGCCATGTTTACAGCTTGGGAGATTCAGGCTGGACATGAGGAAAGACTTTTTCACCAAGAGGTTGGGGCAGCCCTGGAACAGGTCACCCAGAGAGGTGGTGGTAGCTCCATTCTTGGGGGTTTTCAAAGCTCAGCTACAAAAAGCCATGGCTGACACAGCGACCTAGTGTTGGTGGTAGTCCTGCTTTCAGCAGGAGGTCAGACTGGTGACCTGCAGAGATCCCTTTCAACCAGTGCTTCATTTACGTTGAGTCTTTGATTTTAAAAGAAGAACCTGACCGCTGTGAAATAGTAAGCTGCTGGTTTACACCTTATGGCAGATCTCTGGAAATGAGGTGGGACAGCTTTGTGACTTCCCTTAGCAAATAGCCACAGGATTAGACGTGTTTCCAGTTTTTCAGATATTTTAGGGTGGGTGCCATACAGACCTGTAACCCACAGTCCTATCTACCCTTATCTGCAGAATAAGCACGTCACAGGAAACAGTAATGAAAGTTTCTCCAATTCTTGCTGACAGCATATTTTTGATTGAAATAGCCCCAGCGCCAAGGCAGGGCTGAATGTTTCTATGGCATTCCTGGCAGTCATTTCCTGCTCTTGCAGACCTTCGGTGCAGAAGATTTCAAATCAGCTGCCCAAGACAGTGGTCCCAGACAACCTGGTGCATCCACCTCCCCTTCCACCCAAGGCCTTAGCCCCACCACGAAATCTGCCACCCAGGGTATCAGTTTGTGTGGCCATGGTTTTGTTACTGATGTTCCCAATGGACAGACACTCATCCATGAAGAACTAAAATGAAATTCTCCATTCATTTCATACCAACACGTTTAGTCCTTGCAATTCTAAACAAATTCAGTTAAACACTCCAGTTTTTCATAATTCCATTTTAAATAAAGTCTCTGAAGGGAACGGGCTCTGTAAAACAGGATTATCTCTGTAAGTATTAACTGGAACATTTCTTGCTTCAAAACTGACTCTTCTTTTATTAAAGAAAACTGCTGAAATCTCGTGCTCCCTGCACTGCAGTAACCCAAACCTCCCTGCGTCTTTCTTCAGCAGAGAGCTACCATGTGCACAGGGAAGTGTTCAAAGTGCATTGGGATCACCCTGTTCCCACTGGCGGCATGTGCCATAGTCTCCAACATCCTCCTGTACTTCCCCAATGGACAAGTTCTGCAGCTCAGCAAGATAACTGATCTGGTCTGGTTTTTCCATGGCATTCTGGGAGCTGGGATACTGGTAAGAGAGAAGTGTTGCTACTGTTTCTTATAGGTTTGGTTTTGTTTTAAATTTAGGGCTAAGAAAACCTCTGTTAACAAAAAAAGTCATAGGAATATGTTTCGCATAAACATTTGAGCAGCTTAACTGGGAAGTTGGGTACTGGTTTGAGAAAGTGCATTCAAGACTGAAAAAGTCCCTAATCACAGGAATACAAGGTATTCCTGAAATAAATATCAGGTCTCCAAGTCAGGAGGAAGCAATAGGACTGACTTCTCACTGTGGAGAAGGGTGACATGGGTGTTCATCCTCCATGAATCAAAGCAAAGCTGAGGTCCTAAGCTCAGCTGGAAGTGGTGAGTTTTCACTATTGTCTGCACCCCTTCGTTACCCCTCTAACTGATTTTATGCTCACATAAGTCACAAAAAAACATGAAGGGCAAAACTAAAACATGTTTCAATAGGTTTTCATTAGAGACCCAGCCAACACTCCATGAATGTGGAGTTCCAAATGGCTTAAATCCCAAACACCTGCTGTGTTCCCACACACCCACCTACCTCCTTTTGGGTTTGATCTGGTTTGTATGTGTTCTTCTATAACCAGTTCTCCATTCCACCACTCATCACTTTTCTGTGAATATCCATAACTAGAAGGGAACATGTTTGGGAATACTGATCTTTTCCAGTTCACTGGAAAGCCTGCTCCCTTTACACTCTTCCAATTATCCACCCAAATGCAGATAAAAAGCCAAGCGAGTAACATGCATATGACAAGTACTGGCTGTTATGCAGCCTGGGCAGATGGTAAACTGGCACAGAGCTGGCTACCTGCACGTCAGAAAAATGAATGTTTAGGAATAATTAACTTAGAAAAAAGCAAATCTCATTCACAGTCAGGCTATGATGCAGCTACCACGTAAGTCTATGGAAAAGCTACAATGAATGTGGTTCAGACTCATGCTTCCCAAAGCAGAAACTTGGTATAAGATCATTCAGTAAATTGTTCTCCACCAGCAGCTTGCCTGCTTCTTCTTCCAGCTACCACTTGGGCCTATTACTCATGCTGAGCTTGAACGTAAGCATGAGTTTGTGGAAGGAAGCCTAAAGGAAGAAGTGGAACTACATGAGAGACCTGTGGAAAATTCGTATCACTGCAAGCCCAGGAGTCATTGGCGTTCAATGAAAGGAAAGGCAGGTGTTAGGCATGAGAGCGTCACAGGCTCATTGAAAACATGCCTTCTTTTAAGGCTTCCACAGAGGCTTGCCTGTGGCCAGCACCACATACATCAAAAATGAGAACAGCAAGTGAGAGGGGAGGAAAAATTTGCATTGACCTTCAAAATACAGCATTAGGAGTAATTATTGATCCACAAACAATGCTGTTGAGTGTACGTGTTTTCCAGAAAACAGCATGACAAATGCCCACAGGTGAAGAGAAGGGGAAAGAAAGCATTATCATCAGCTCCATTTTCCAGGTGCTGGAAGCATGGAAAAAAGAAGTCTGGCTTCTGGGCCTCCTAGGGAGCTAAGCAAGGGGCAGAATGCCCCGCGACTGCAGCCTGGTCTGTATCCTGACTCCACAGTGAGGACTGACCAGGCTGCAATGCTTTCCGCCATGCACCCAGCTTCTCACCAAAGGAAACTCAGGGAAGTCGTGCCAACAGGTTGCCCGATCTTGGTGGATCTAACCAGGACACAGCCTCCAGAGCCAGGACTTTGGGGAAACTTCGTAACAGCCTGACCTGGCTTCGTGAGCTAAAGAACCTGCCTTTGGCTGAGCAGCCAGCCTCACCCTTTCCTCCTCCTCTGCTGCTTCTCTAATGGAAATTTATATGACGTGAAAACCTCTCCATTTCCTTATTTCGAAAGTTTAGGGTGTAAAGAAAGGAAGACTGGCTCTATGTGTCATAGTAACATCTTTCCTGATGGAAAGCCTATGTGCAACACTGGGAAATGCCCGACTGAGCCATGGCTCACGCACAGCCCTCATTTTACTGACAACAGCCAAATCTAGCAAAGTTTCATTCCCATGTCAAAAGGCAGGTGTTTATAATCAGACACTGCAAAAAAAAGGAAGTTGCCAAGCAAACCCTTCATCCTGAGCCAGGCTAATAAATGACACTGAGGTGTTCGCAGCTCAGATGAGAAACCTCCAAAGAAGACAGCCCTGGAGGAAAGGGAGTGTTGGTTTGATAGGCAGAGGTATTAGCTCTCCTTCTGAGTGCCAGACAGTAGCATGCTAGGGCTGAGGCTGCCTTGGGGACCACCTGTGATTATTTAAGAGCTGACTTCTTTTCAGGAAGAGGAATGTCTTTTTAACCTCAATGCTCTACATCTGCAGGTCTCTAGCTGCGGTCCAGTGACCACTGCAGGTGCTGGAGGCTGCCCCTGGGGTGTGCATAAAAGGCAATGGAGAGCAAATCCTTTGAAAAATATTTAGGGGCCTCCAAATCTAAGCAGGTTTCATAACACTGTCTTACAGTCTAACAGAGATATTCACCGTGCACACATAAATTCCCCGGGCTTTGTTCACCATGGACATTCTGCTCTTCCTGCCCTACATGGGACAACATCTCTCCAACACCTAGTCAGGCTGGTTTTACAGCTTTTACTTTTTTTGTTTGTTTGGGGGGGTTCCCCTTCTTTCATTACTTTATAGGGACCATTTCCTACTTTCTCAAATACTCATTTTCTTGCGTTGTTATTTGAGATGCCTACACAAACAGTGGCGGGCAGAGGAAAGACAGCAGGAGTGCTCTGGCTGCACAGCTAGACCCACAAAAGCTTGCTTGCCCTCTAGCTGCCAAACTAAATTCAGCTTTTCCTATCTCCAGAGTGCCTCTGTAAAGCAACATTATATCCTGAGACACAGATGGTTACTGGTTTCATTGCATCAGTCCAACTCCACCTGATAATAACTGTGGAGAAAGCTGGTGTGAACTGGGATTTCCTTGTGGAGTGGAGTCCATTTTGTAGCTTTTCCAGAAGCTTAGCACAAAGAACCAAAGTCAGGTGTGTTTCAGGATGTTTAAGACTGATTTCCCAATTATAATCCAGAGTAGGATGCTCAGAAAATTTAAACGGACATAATTCTTACTCCTGTGATGCATCTCTTCTGAGAAGAAATTCCATTTTCTCAAAACTGACACATTTGCTCCTGAAAAAAACCCGACAAAACCCTGCTGAAAAGAAGTATAGCTTCAGCAATCAGAATTTCTGTACCAAAAACTTGCCAGCCAGCTCTAGCTGTAATCCCACGCTTCTTCCCGAGTTACTCTTCAGCAAGCACCAACACCTAAGCAGGTGTAACTCACAGAGAAGAGGCAGAAGGTGGTTTGCATTTGAGGAACATGATGCCCCAGCTCCTAGACTTTAAAAACCATCCCAGCAGAAGTACTGCACACCAATTCAGCTTGTGCTTTTCTCACAGGTTATTTTGCCGGCATTCATGATGCTGGGAGCAGGTGGAGCAGGATGTTGCGCTAACAGATGTGGGGTAAGTGGATATTTATGTGTCGAAATGGCACTAGACGGTTTGCACAATAGCTCTTAAATGGCTGCTTAGCAGGTGGAAACGTACAATGACAAACCATCACACCACCATCAACAGCCATTTCAGGGAAATGCAGAACAGGAACTTGATCTACAGCGTCCCTCGGCTGGGGCTGAGGGCTCAGTTGGCCAACAAGAATGTTGTGATACTGCAGCCACTGACATGAGGGAAATCATACTCAGCCAGGGCAGGTGCTGGAGCATTTACACACAACGCTGAGGGCAGAGGGGCACAAAGCTACTTCACTTCATCCCACATAAAGTAAAACATGGCTCCAGCTTCCTTCTGCTCAAGGCAATCTAAAGATTGAGACAGCTGCCTGTTCCTTCTGCTTCCACCTGGTCCTGTTTCCTCCATACCCTCCACGGCAATTTGCTTTTCCACAGGTTCATCCCTGCTTACCTCTGTAGGGACAGATGGGTCCCCTACTTTGCAGGCCCACGCTAAAAGCCTGAGCTGCTGCGGCTGGCGCTATGGAGCCAACGCTGCTTCCTGAAGGCTGGTGCCTATGGAAGGATTTGACCCGTAGCACACATTTGCCCAAGCGTTATGCACATGCAAGGTGCAAATGCAATTTGGGCTCTCTGTCATCCAGAGAAAGGCCAGAGAGACTTTTCCCCTTGATATTTAAGAATATTATAAAGCAACATGTTATACAGGCATCTCCATTAATCCTCAAGCCCTGGGCACAGACTTCTGTGTGGCTATCATTATTAGCAAGAATAAACTGAGTTAGAAATGTTTTTTTTAGTCTGCATCCTTCCCAGAAGCAGTCTGGAATGAGATATTCCATACAATAAAGCATGTCTCTTCTGTACTCTTCAATTAATATTTAGTTTGATCCATGAGAAGACCTTTACCTCTTCAAGATGTTTTACTTAAGTTAATTCATTATTCATAATACCAAAATAGCATTCTTCATTAGGATGTCTGCAAGTACATCCCAAGGGACATGTCATTATATTGATTTTACCAAAGGTCACATGCACAGAGAAGATGCTAATGATGGCCAAGTAGGCCAGTTGCAGAGCTGGGGTGTGAGCCTAGGCACCCTGAACCCGGTGGCTGAGCCGGCTGCTTCTCCTGATTTTGCATGATGTAGAAAGTGGTGGTGGAGAACAGCCATACCGTGGGTGTTCCCACACTCTGCTGAATGTGGTAAGTCACGAGGGGAAATCCAGCTGAGCTGGGCTCAGTTCACCCAGCATCTCAGGTCTCCCTTCTCCATCCTTCATCCCAGCACTAACTATTACAGAGCCAAGAGTCAAACTTCCCCAGATGGGCTGGGTTCACTCTCCCGGCCCACCAACGCGGGTGGTAGCACAGTGCCATCCAGCAGCCCACCTCTGCAGAACCCCCACCCTCCTCCATTCCCCCCCACGTCCCTTTCACTGCCTGAGCCATTCCTAGCAGCACCCATGGGTGCCAGGTACCCTGTCTGCACCTTCCCATCACTCCTTGGTTACCTACAAGCTGTTCCTCCTCTTCCTTATTTGCTGTTAGAGAGGAATACAATAGACACAGTTGAGAAGACAGTTTGATTATGTGCTGCAATACTTGTATAAAGGGAGCTAGCTGATGGCCAGGTGATGAAGCTACTCAAACCAAACTAGACGATAGGCTCGGTGAGGATGGTATGTCTTTGAAAATGCTGTCTTCTGGGACTGTGGGAATTGCCCACCTCTTTGAGGTGGAAAGGGGTGAAGCTCTACAAGTCACTCCATGGTTTAAACTGAACATGGCTCAATGTAGAGATGAGATGGGGACATGAGCAATGAGCGAGTGGCTGTGAATGGCATTAAAAACAACAGTTGCCCCTGCACAGCTCCTGGGGAAGACTGATTTCCAAGCATGTAAAAAGAGGTGAGTATTGCAGGGAGATTTGAAGGCTAATGATGTGCTGCTTCAGGAGAAGAAACCTCAGGGAAACTTTGCTTTGGGGATAGCAGGAGGAAATGCACAGACACCCACGGCAGGGTTGCTCAGATGCCCTAACCGTATGGGCTGTATACCCAAGGCAGGGTATGGTGTGAATCACCAGGCGCTGGAGAGCAGAGGAGCCCTGGGACTGGTTCAAACATCACGATGGTAATGACTTCCCAAGGTGCCAGAGCTCCTTGCGAGGTGGGTCTGTATGGACCCAATATGGGGTCTCCAGCTCTCGGTGGCTTCTCCACCAACTTCTACCTACTGGCAGAGAAATAGTCCACACTGGAACTACTCAGGAGACTCTGTAATCCAACAGTTAGATTGTCCACCTTTCTGCTTTGGGGACCTTAGGCATAAAATTATAATTTACACTGAATACTCAGCATTTCTTTTCATAGAAAAAAAAAAAGGCTAGAGAACTAATACTGATCAGAATTATTATTCAACATAACCATTTTCCTCAGGGTAGGGACTCCATCCTATTATGTTTTGTGCAGTCCCTGGTTTAATAGTTTCAGACTTCATGGCAGCCTTTACACGCTGCTGAAGTATCAACAACAGTAATAATAATTAGTAAATTTCTCATCCTTTTATTCACCTTATTGAGTTCTCCAGTTCACAGTGATTATGTGCTGCATTAAGTTTTTTTTCATTAATACATTTTGAATTGCTGCCTGCATACATACCTAGATGGCTTCTTGTCCTTGCATTATGGAGTAATGATTTTGGAAAGCAACAGATTTAGAAAGCTTCCGTGTCTTGCAGCTTAGTGTGTACGCATCTGAACACACCCACTGCACTGGCACAATGAAGAAAAAAGGCCCCCCCAAAATACGGCTTCTGTTGTTGCATCAGCAAATATACTCCAGTATTTTTCTCTAAGCCTTCCATAAGAGTTACTAGCAGAACAAGAATAACCATAGCAGCTTTCCAGACAAACAAACATAGATAAGCAAAGATATCTGGATAAACAGACAGGATAATAATTCCACAAAAAAACACCTCCAGAAAAAGAAACAGAGAAGAAAGAAATGTGCATGAAACAAGAACCAGGGCAATAAAGAGCAGCACAAGCTGGGACAGGAGGAACTTGGTAACTTCACCAAAGCAGCTGATGCAAATGCTCAAAGAATAAATGCTAAAAGTCTTCACCAGCTCACCAGAGACAATCCAACTGTGTGAAGGATAAAGCAGGAAAAACATTAAATGAAAAGCAGCAAAAATGATGAGCTTTGCAAGAGGTAGAGAACAGGCAAACACCATGGGAAACTAATTTCAACAAACTCCAGCGTCCCAGCTTAGACCTCATGTTGCAACTGAAGACACAAATGAGGAAATAAAAAATTTCAAAAAAAGTGATACATGAAGATGGTACAGCTAGGGAAAATGCTGAAAGGTTGAGATGCTGCGATAGTTAATAAAATTGCTAGATTTCCATAGAATATGGGACAAGCCTCCAGAAAAGACTCCAGAAGAGTGGATATAATGGAGAAATGCCACTGCGTGTCTAGAAAATGCCCAGGAGAGCCAATTTAACAGCTGCAGCAACTTCAGACTCCTTTTTCAGTGACAAGTAGTCTTTGTCTATATAAACATGCGCATAGTAAAGGAAATAGGTGAGATGAAGCTAGCTATACAGGCAACAGATATCAAATGATAAAATCATGCATCAAAGAACAGTCATCAAGGGTAGTACTGATGAATACTACTAGTACTAACCACTATCATAAAACACAGTAGTAGCAAAAGACCATTTGACTTTTTCGATCATAATTGTCTTTGGGATGCCCATACTGCTACGCTGTGCTGAAACTAATCATTAGCATAATTAAGATCCTTCAACCAAGATGCAGAATGCACAGTTGAACTAAATGAGAAAATAGGTGGGGAGAAGTGGTTCAGCGTAGGTAGGAGTTTCAGACAGAGTATCAGTCACTCACCTTCACCGCGAGGCATGGCTGGTGATCTTATTATGAGAGACAGTGCATCAGCTACAACCCAGCACTGCTTTGGTCTGGGACAATATACTAAATTACCTACATTTTGCTGACAATGAAGCTCTGCTAAGAGGCAACTCAGTCAACATGCAGATAAAGACAAAAAGAGTGTCCAGCTTTGCAGAAAAAGACAGAGTTATTAATCAGTTATGATGAAATAAATCTCATGAGAAATCCCAGCAACTTCTAACTCAAAGATTGCTTTAGAGGCAAAAGGACACACAAAATGAGTCAGTTCACACACTGGCAGCATGCAAGGTGTACAGAAAACAGTAATGTCATTGCTGGCAAGTTGGAAACTGCATTCACCAGCTTGAACATGTTTGGATAGTGAATAGTTTTTAAAACTATGTCACAAAACTGCAGCGTGGATGGTGGATATTTCCATTTGACCCTGTCACGCAGCACTGTGTGGAGCAGCTGGCATTAGGAGAAGGTTTCTACCTTCCTTGTGGGCTATTAGATTTCACTGGTATTTGCTGGCAACAGGGAAATGTTGCCAGAGGTATGTGGCTTTAAACCCAAGTCTGGGACAGGCGTGTTTCCCATGTCCTTCCTCAGTCGTGTCTCTGCCCTGACTCCGAGGCAGTCCTGCTGCCTTGCCCCCAGTCCAGGTCTTCTCCTGGCTTTGTCAGTCTGCTCCAGAGTTTCCTTTGCTCTTCTCCTTCTTGGCAGACTTGTGAACAACCACAGGCAGGGACTCTTAACAAGACTAGTGGGAAGCCTGTCCCAGATACACCACCAGTAGCACCTGCTTGAGATTCTTGTTTCTGTATACAAAGAGCAACCAGATGCATTCCATCCACTAATAGAAAACTACCCCAAAACAGAGCAAAGGTAATTTCTGTGGGAGTGGCCAGTGTAAAACGTACAGGTGCATTACATATAATTCGAAGTCACTGCTAGTTCGTTGCCACACGCAGCACAATTAGATTTCTCAACACGAGCAGTGGTAACCACATGTCATGCTCTTGCAAAATGAAGGAAAGCAGCAATAAGAAAGGCTCTTTTGCCTTCCTTATCAATTAGCAAAAACAACTAATGCATCTTCTGTTGCTTTCATACCTGGTTCAGTAGCTGCTTGCTAGTTTCTGTTGGTACAAGGGCTGAGAAAGGTGCTCTTGGTGGAGGTGGAAATGCCAAGGTGCATGATGTGGACTACATCAAGCCAGTACTGGCTTCATATTGGCTTTTTGAAAGAAGACCACCAGATTTTTCATAATTGATTGGTCAAGTATAAAACTGATTAATTAAAGCTCTGGGCATACCCACTTTTAAAAGCAAAACAAATACAGTCTGAAATCCTTTCACAGCTAGGATAGCTGCACTAGTCAGCAAAATTCAACTATTTTTTATTCCTACAAATATCATACTACTGTTATGAGTTTCAGCATATCGTAAGAAACAAATAAAGATCGTTCCCTTCCCATTCAGTGTAAGCTTTCCATGTTACTCCATACTTCTGTGCATGTGATGTTGAAGGACTTTTCCCTTTCAGATGCTGCTGTCAGTGGTCCTGGCTGTGCTGGGATTCGCTGGAGGAGCGTATTGTGTGGTCATCTCCTCACTGGGGCTGATTGGGGGCCCTCTGTGTGACACAGGTGATGGAGAATACCTCTACCCTTTCAGGAACGACACTCTGGAGTAAGTATGACGTACAGGCTCTTCCAACTTTGCTTTCCCTAATTGCCCCCCCCACACACACATCTTTTTATAGCAAATTTGAATTTTTCCAAAGTGAACTGATGGTCCACCTGGTCTACGAATAAACTCATATTTCTCTGAGCCAGCATGTTCCAGCTGGTCATCTCTTTGACCAAAGATCATCTTTGGGCAAACTGCCTGAGTCTCCTGTTGTGCTTGTCAGCAGCCCCTTTTGCAAGTTGCAGTACACTTTCAAAAGGCTGCTGAGCTGTGAATCCCACCAGAGCCAAAACGAAATGTTTGGTAAGTATGCCACATTAATCTGTTAAATCATCATGAATTGAGTCTACTCTGCCTGGTTCTGAAAAGCAAAGCGAAAGTCTTTTCTAACTCTTTAAAGTTATCCTTGGCAACTACACTTTTCAAGCCAGAGCTGAAGATGATGGATGGACTGCGCTGAGACACCACAGCAGGAAAGGAGAATATGGAGACACATTTGAAAACCATTAGGGACCTTTCCCTTTAGTTATTAGCACTGCCATAAAACAAAAGGGAGATTCTTGTGCATGTACAGATGTGGCTTTCTCCTCTAGTCATCAATTGCACCTCTGCAAAGGCAATTCTGAAGAGAATCACCAGCTTTCACCAATTATAGTAGAATTTGAGACTCACTTTGTGCAATCAAGTTCAGAAAATGTAATGCCAGAAAACACAGAAAGCATTCTCAATTTTTAATTTTCTTATTAGAAATGTATTCATTGTCAATTATTTTTCTCTGTCACAGAGACAGTTATTTGTTCAACCAGACAACATGGAGCATTTGCAGAGAACCTGAAAACATAATCCTTTGGAATATTGTCCTTTTCTCTATTCTTCTGGTCATTGGTGTGATTGAAGCTATTCTTTGTTTTATTCAAGTCGTCAATGGACTTACCGGCTTTATATGTGGCACATGTATGAGGAAAAGAAAGGTTGGTATGCAGTAAAAGGTATCAGAGTGCTTTACATTCTTACCACTTTTATTTTTCAGGATCTGGGAATGGTACATGACCAGAGAGATCTTCACAGTCCCTGAATGAGCTCCTCTGGGGAGCTGAGGCAGTACAGATGCATTTGCACACTGTCTCTCTCTCCCTCACATTGTAGTCAAGGATAATCTGGTCTTCAGATATTTCAAAACAGCAGAGCAGTGTGATGTATTGACATACTCAGTTGCATGGTTGTGTTCCTATTCAAGAAGCCATTTTGATAAAGTGTAATGACCCCCCAGCAGCTGTAAGTGAGAGAGATGATAAGCGGAGGTGTTTCTAGCTGGTCAACAGTAGTAAAAATGTCATTTTACAAAATGAAAGAAAACCTCTTTCGTGTTTCATTTATCTTCACTGCTTCCTTTTCACTGTTTATTTTCATTGTCCAAGATTTTTGCAGTAAGTCTGATATTCCTCTGGAATATTAATTAATCATCTTTCTTCCATTGCCTTTCAGACAAATATTTCTGGAATGTGAATGACCTACAGGGAATGCCAGGACACACCCCGAGCTGAGCTGCCGATTCACATACAATAAGGATAGTGCACTGTGCTGTATTTCTGGGGCGATGACAAAGAAAGCCCAAAATGTTCAGGCGTTTCATGGGGCAAAATGTATTTTTTATAAAGAAGTCAGGGTGGAAAAAGGCTAGATCATTTAGATCTGAGACACCAAATTTTCATCTCTCTAAATATCCTTGCTAAATCTCAGGTATTGGCAAAAACATGAATCTGCCTGGTCCCAGCTTCTGTACTTGTGCATAAAACACAAAGGTCCCCAGACCAAAGCTTGCCACTTGTCCTCTTGTGTATATGGGAACTGAACTGTTGTTAATGTATGCATCTATCAGCTGCATGAAGCAGGTGCTCTCTGTCTGGATGTAAATAACCTCATGTCCCCTCCAGATCCCACCTTGAGCTCACCTGTTTGTTCCTATTAACTTGCTACCCAGGCACTCCCAGATTTAAATTAGGATGCGCAGAGAATATATCAAGCGGCATGTGCAACACTGCAGAAGCAATTGAAGTACGTGGTTTTCAGCCTCCCTCAGCCACTCTGGAGCCAAATCCCCTTGTGCTCATTTGGTAGCTTGCTATCATGTTTGACAAAGTCCAGTGCACTTCTACATCAGTTCTTCAGGAGCATCTAAGAGACATGTTAACCCTGGAGGGTCATTTGGTTCAATATAGACAGTAGGTTTTGGAGCAAGAGTTTAACAATGTCCAGTTTAACTAAAAGAAGGAGAACCTCAGCACCAATTTTGTCCTCACGAGACTCCATAGGCATCTCACTAATTTCCACACAGTTCTGTAGGGCTGTTCTCGAATAGATCCCATGGACAAGCAATTAACTGGTAAAGATAAACATTAAATCAATAAAGGTAGTGATTATGTGCAGCGTAGTAGCAAATAACAGATATAATCTGAAAGGCAAAAAATTGCATCAGTCTTAGTGTTACAGCAACAGTAATCCCAACCAGGAACTGCGTAATTCCCCATCATCATTTAAGATCAAGCCCTTGATGCTAAAGCCCATGACTGGCAAATTTCAGAAACCCCATCATTTCAGTGACTTCCTCAGAGATTATTTCTTGGACATGCCGCTGATTTCCCTAAGTCAGCCAAACTGTAGGATAATCTTTATCCATCCTGAAGGCATGTATGCAGTTAGGAAAACCTGAATATATTTAAAGCACTTGGAATCTATTTTTCAAAGAAAGACATTTATGTTTTCTCAGTCAAACGTTCGTATTTCTGCAATGTAGCATGGGAGCAAGTTACTTGAACACAGTTATTGCAGACATGGTTGGTTGGTTGTGCTATCCTCTAATGCAGCACACAAACCGCTTTATACAGAATGGGGAAGAAAATGCCAGTTGTGCTAAGATGAGGAGCACATGTACATTTCCTTGGAGCATAGCTTCACCTCTAGAAGCAGGAAATTTGAGCACAAAACTTAAAAGTACCTTCTGTTAAAAAAGCTGAAGTTTGCAATCATGACTAGGTGCATCCAAACCTGCCAGGTGGCTTAAAACGATCACGTTCATTGTTGGCAGTGAAGCCTGGAAAGTGCAACCATATAAAGTGAGCATCAAAATAAAGCCAACTGATTCAACCAGGAAAAGAGTCAAGGAGGCAGCTAGAAGTAAGGATATTCAGCACGTCGCCAGACTGAGAGAGACTCCTTCATCAGCAGAGGGGCTCTATGAACTCTTCACAGCCCCTAAATATCAGCCCTGCCCTCATCCTTCAGTTTTGTCCCCCTGACTCTCACCTCTATGATAAAGCCAGTCTGGGCTGTGCCAGCCCTGCGAGAGGGAGAGGTACCCAGTGGCACACACCACCGCCAGCACAGGAAGGTAAAGGCACTGTACTGCTGCCATCTGCTTGTTCCAGGCTGTCCCGCTCTGGGGACGTTCAGTGTCACCTCTGTGTGCTAACGGGGACACCCTCTGTCCTGTCAACTGTGCAGTCACTGGCCTCACTGATATATGTAAATATTAAATATTGTTGTTATTCTGAAGTTCTTTTCTGGCTTGATTTGTGTGACCTAAAGGACTTGCGACTTCAAACTAGCTCTGGTAGGAAGACATATGGAATAACACAGAAAGTAGAGTTAAATTCATCTTGTCTAACTTGAACCACTGAAAAGAGTCAAGCATCAAGCCACAGAGTCCATGGAGAGAGGTGGTCTTCCCCCAGCCCATACTGAAAGAGATGTCTAAAGCAGGCAGGAGGAATTGCCTCTCCAGGCAAGATTCAGTTGCCTACCCTAGACAGGAGCATCTGGTGCCGTTTGAAGTGCAGCAAAGGTCCTGCTCAGCCTCCAGATGCCACTCGAGGTGGCAACGGTCTCCCACATGTCCTGTGTCGCACCTGAGAGCCACTTGCAGATCTCTAGAGACCCAAGAATCTCAGCTGGAGCTACCAACACAGAGGTGTGGGTGACCAAAGCAAATGCTCATCTCTTGCAAACACAAGGATGCTAAAAATCAATTTAACCAAGATAGGTGGCTAAAATTCAGTGAAATCATTTCAGCTCATGGCTTTTCAGATGCCCCAAATCACCTTTTACATGTGTCAAAGCCTAAGCTCTCAGAAGTGTCACCAGAGCCTTCTCCAGGAGCCGGCCAGCACTTCATAACGGGGGTGGCTCCTTGCACCAAGCACTGCAGAGACCTGTAAAAAAATGGCTACATGATACTAACAAAAATAATTTTGGTTTAGGCAGAGTTGGCTTCACTAAAGATAAAATATTGTGTTTCAGAAGTGGGATTACTACAGATCTTAATTTGGTTGTTTTTTTTCAAAATGGGAAGAATTATTCCAGTGAAATCTAACAAAGGAAAAGAAGTATTTTGCCTCTGAAATATTTTATGTATTGTACACATGAAGAATTTAGTAAACTAAGGAACTCATAATATTCTTCTATATCTATCTTTTATCTCTGTTCATCTTCTATCTATCCATCTATCTACCTACCTACCTATCAATCTGTCTTCTCTAATTCTATCGATCTTAAATATTTAATGGTCAAAAACTCACACAGGCATAATGGCAAAATATTTGTTTAATTTTTATATTTATTACTCACTGTGCAGTCTCACCACACAGGCTTTCACACAAGGAGTAAAAATATGTTACTTTCTAATCAAATTGTCCCTCTCCTCTGCATCTGAAACTCATGCAGGATATCAGCCACACACAAATCTGTGTTGGTTGGAAAAGAAAAAAAGTGTTCCTGGGATTGACTTGGGATAGGAATAAAATTTTAGACCAAGGACACCATGTGAAAAATTGTAAACGTTTGGAGACCAATGGCCCAGTGTTTCAGCTGCCAGCATCAAGGACATGATTCAAATACCTGGGTTGGAAACCACAGACTGTTTCATGCCACCTCATTTCAAGAGGAACTGTCAGATCGTTTTGATGCAAATAGCTCAGATGCCTCAGGCCCCAGTGCTCAGTTTTTCTTGGCGAGCAGAGCAAAGCAAACTGGTGGAGAGGTTGGTCCCTGCAGACCTCCCTGTGCCACAGCCTCTGCTCCACTGCCCCAGCCCCAGCCCTGTGTCTCTCCTCCCACGGAGCTCCTCACAGGCACTTCTTTGCAAACAAACTTTAAAAAAATCCCAAAGGAAATTAAAAAAAAAAAAAAAGGACCTTTCCAGATTCTCAGAGTACTTTATTTCATTTCCTACACGTACCAGCTCATTGGGCTTGTTCCTTTCCAGAGGAGTGACAGGGGACGGCCACCATTTGGAAATGCCCTTCCCTGCAAGACCTCTCTCGCCCCACAGCACCCCTTTCCTCCTGAGCCCGTGGGCCACAGAGGGCCAGCTAAAGCTCATCGTCAATAACATAGCACATTTAACCTAGAAAGGCAGGGCAAGGATTTTGTCAAAGGCAGAGAGGCCACTGTTTTGTCCATCTTTATTTCTTCCAGTTGGTTAGCTTCAAAGCTGAGTAGCTGTAAGTGCTCACTACAGTGCAGATCATTTCCACCATAGATGGAAAACTTGGCACACAGCGCTGCTCACTTTCTTCCAGGCACTCCTCTGTTTTTATCAACCACCCACGTCAGAGTTTGTTCCATCAAGGTCAAATGATAAGGAGAAAGCAAGAGCTCAGCTGAGTATCCTCCAAGTAGATCCCCAGAACCATTGGAGATACACCAGAATACCCTGGCTGCTGCTCCAGAAGGGTATGTGTCTTCCCAGGGGCTCTGTAACTTCTGCTTGCCCATGTGGACATCTCAGAGCCTCAGGTCTCGGGTGGCACCAGCCACCTCTATGTAAGCAGCCAAATCAAGCCCTGAAACACCTACTGGGTACAGTGACAGTGCTCTTAAAAGCAGCCCTGAGTCCAGCAGACTGAGATCTGCCCTTGCTCTGTCCTGCCTCACAGGACCTAAAATGGGTCAGTGAATCACATCCTAAAATTGCATATTTCTCCCCATGGGTTACGCAGGGAGCTTGAAGCGAGCAGCGCAGCAGCTGGCACCCAAAGCTGCAGCCCTCCGTCATGAGCAGGGAGGTGAAGCCCACCTCAAACTTCTCTCCATTAGTGAGATTTCCTTTTTTTTGGTAAAATAGATGCAGTAGCTGAGAGTCATCTAGTGGCAAAAGAGCACAACGACAGATTCAGTGAGGAATTGGTCTTCTTGGTATAACTGTATGTTTTTACAATCCTTCCATGCACTGTATATCATCAAAACCACTCCAGCTTCAGATGAACTACCTTACCCATACTTTTTCTCTAAGTGTCCTTCATCCCATTGTGTAATGTTTTCACTTACCTTTTGTCCTACCACATCTGCCTTCCACCTCTCTGGGTCTTTGAATGAAGTTTCCCTGCAGATTTTTATGCCTGCCACTTTTTCTTTTGTTTTTTTTTCCCAAGAGATGGTAAAAAGCAGAGTCAGTCCAGATGTTTTCTGCCGATGTCAAAGAACAAATTCAAATCTTGCTTTGGACATGT